CCCTCGCCTGCCTCATTAGGTGCACGAGACTAAGAGCTTACCTCTAACAGAGGATTAGATAAAAGATCAGCGAACACAACGAATGTCTAAGGGTCGCATTAGGCAGATTAGACCAAACTCCGTCCTGAGCAGTTAGATCACTTTCTCCCATTAAACTACACTTAGTCACCTTGCAAATCGAACTCGTGAATAGAAAACCTATTACTCCCACCACGGAACGATCTATATGCTTATAAAACCTGAAACCGCGATACCACTCAAATAAGTGAGTAGTGTTTGGTGCGCGCATGAAGAGGTGATTGTAGAATTCGCACGGTATTCAGAAGTGATCAAGATATGTAGGTGCGGAATAAATGGCCTACTATCCTCCTTAATGTGGCACTAATCTTGTGGATTTATAACGGTGGCAGCAGAGCTGAGTAACTTTTGAAGGGTTCCAATGTTGAACCTTAGAACCCACAACACATCAGTAACAGTCGAGTGAGCAGCTAAACTACTAGGGACCGAAAACTCCGATGCTAACCTAATTTGATCGAAAATAATAATCTCACGAAAGATTTTAACGGTTACAGAATTCACGCGCTCCAAAATCGTAAATTATTCGGAAAATAGTCGCGAGCACTATGATCTGATTTAACTTCATCTTAATGTAATGACTGTGCATCAACCAAACATCTGATCATAATAACCTGGGTTACATTTATGTATAAATACGGTGCGCAAATTAGCTGAACTTCGAGGTTACCTGTATTCTATTTTCGAGAGTCCTGCACAGATTACGACTGTCTAACCGTTATTACTACTACCCAAAAGCATGGTCATCAGTCATTGTTTAATGAAAACAATAACCACTGCGAGAACCAAGTCAACCAGCTACGAGGACTGATTGAGCAATTAGGTGGGCAGTAAGTGGATGACAGCTGAAACAGGAAGATTCCAGCATCGAAGTGATTTCAGCCCAGAGAACTCAATCAACCAAAACTCCTTATTAAGCGCATCGCGAACATAGGCAATACCCACATAGTCGGCGATCGATGGACACCTAAAGGTTGGTGCTAATAACGAAAGTTATCGAAAAATGAGGGGTTAGAAATTGAAACAACGATCTGAAATATTAGCCAATCAAAAAAAAATTGAAGTATTTATGACAATTATTGAAAATATATCGTAATGAACCACGCTTACCCAGTATCAACATTCGCCTTTGTTCGTATGTAGGGATTTCGGAATTGCGTGGAGTCCGCAGGAGCTGTAGTGGGACGGGTTTCTTCAGTACGGCATGGCTCTGTGTTATTGAAATTATTATTATTATTATTATTATTATTATTATTATTTCTGTTCCGAGACGACGAAGAAACATCTGAATTGGAAGAACTGGAAACATGTGATCCTCTGTTGGAAAACACATGGTTGGATTCCACGGACTGACCGAATCCGGCCTTATCAGCGTTCAAAGTTTGTTTGATTTCGTGGACAATATCCCATATGTCTTGAACCAAAGGTGGGTTTACCAGTGTCTCATCAGTAACGGGTTTCTCGGGAGGCCTCCAAGGGCGCGGTTCGTGAGAAACGCCGGGGAACAAATCACGAGCGGAATCTGGGCTGNATGGTAAGTGGCTCCCATCTTGGTTTTTGTTTTTATAGCGTATGTGAGGAGTGTCCAATTCGCTGCCACTAGAAAGGCCATCTTCTACACTGGGTAAGTTTTTGATAGGTTGCGGATCACCGTGAGAACTAAGAAACTCCGTAACCACATCATCGTCATCCGGCAAGCCGAGATTCTCGGGTTTCTGTTGATGTCTTCTATTCGGTGTTGTTTCGTTATCTAACTTAACATTTGCTGATACATCCTGTTCCTTTAGAGTGTTACTTGTATTGGTCGTCCTGGCCAGGAATGGAGATGGCGTCGCTAAATTTGTTTGCCGAAAGCCCGAAGTTCGTTCGGACGTTACATTGTGCAGGGGAATTTCTGATAAGTACTCTTCCATATTATTTGAAGGCACTGCCGCTTTATGCGCGGTGGTTGGCATAAAATCTATCCCAGCCGGGACAGCTGTTTCTTTCGAATTTAAGGACTCGTTACAGGGATTAGTGGGATCTTTCAGTGGTTTAGATGCATCGAGAATCTGAACGGGCCGTTTGACACAGCTTTGACGGGGATTTTCACAATTAAAAGTGGGAGGTAATCCATACAATAAAGTTGGATTTGCATCACTCACATGCGTAGCGGAGCTATGAGCACCGTTGCAGGGGGGAAACGAACGTGTATCTCTAGGTCGATCGACTGCTATTCGACACGGACTAGATTCATCTGAGAGTGACTTTGTGCTAAAATTTGGAGAAATTCGGGGAGGTGAGAATAGACCCTCTGAGCCATTAATCATGATCGACACTTTAACAACAAAACAAGCAACTTGTTAACCGCACACCAGATCCAATCCAATCCAATCCAATCCAATCGTCCAGGACGTAGAGGCCTCGGCCTTATGGTTGTCCTGATTCTGGCTCGATCTCGTCGGTA